TGAGCGTGCGACTTAAAGGAATGAAATCAAAATCAAAACTTTGCAAAACGCTTACCGTCAAATTAGCATTTGTTTGTAACAGGATTTCTGGAATAATTTGTTTGTTTGTTTGTAATTAAGCACAAAGCTACACAATTGGCTATCTGTGCTCTGCCCACCACGGGTATCGAAACTCGGATTCTAGCGTTGTAAGTCCGCAGACATGCTGCTGTGCCACTGGGGGGGGGGGCTTCTAGAATAATATAAAAGAATCGAAATATATAAATCCATTTATATTACTTAACATTACTTAAGCCTTTATTGATAACGGTCTATATTCGGTATAATAAAAACACTTTAGGTGTGAAAAAAAAAGGTGCGTCCAATAAAGGATTGAGCATGCGACTTAAAGGAATGAAATCAAAATTGGCGGCCAAACTAGTAGCCACACTTATAGCATTGATAAGAATTTTACATCTTCCATATTACTTCTCTTTTTACTGATATTCCCCTGGACGAAACCATTAATATTGCACTTTCTAATCTCTTCGCTAAAAAACATTCTTGTTAATGGATTTTCTAAATCTGATTTCAAATCTATGTTTGAACTCTCGACCAAAGACTCTCTTCTCCTCTTCAACAATACTCTATATGAGCAAATAGATGGCGCTGCTATGGACTCCCCACTGGCCAAAACTTTTCTCTATCACCACTAACACAACTAGACTGACAACTGTCCGTTCAGCTTCAAACCTGTTCTCTATAGAACGTACGTTGATGCTACTTTCCTTACTTTCTGCGATATTGATCATATCCAATGCTTTCTTGACTATCTCAACTCACAACACCTCTCTATACACTTCACTCGTGAACTTGAGAATAATAACTTTATTCCCTTTCTGGACATTCTTGTTAACCATGATGCTAACGGCTTTTCAACTTCTGTTAATCGTAAAAACACAGTTACTGGCCTTTTCATTCAGTTTGATAATTTTCTTTTTCGAACGCAATCTTATTCTCTGTCTACTAAATAGAGCCTAAAAACTTACCTCATCCTATTTAGCCCTTCACAAAGAAATTACTTCAATACAAAACATTCTCTTTCAAAACGGCTACCCTAATACCTTCCTCATTCCTAATTAATTTGTTTGTCAAACCACATACGATACCCACTTTACTCAAACTTCCCTTATACACCTGCTTACCATAACTCGGGAGACAGGGCGCTCCCTTATCAGGAAACAGTTGAAAAAATTACTAATAATGGAATTATGACGATTCCGAAACGTCTAATAAATGCTTCCTGTTATTACGTTCGTGTTTTGTTTTTCATTAATAGTAAATTATGTAAGAAATCTAACGGGCAATAACAGGAGTACATCTACAGATAATAAACTCAGACTTTATATTCCAATTATTGCCTTGGCCTGGAACACAAAAACACTCAACAACAAATTCTCCACCCAGAAACGTAGCTAGCACTACAAAAAGGAGGGGTCTTTAAAAAATATGGGGGGGGGACCTATTATTCTACAAAAATGATTTATGTGATTCACATAAAGTCAAGTGTTTATTAAAAATCAGAAGATAGTGGACCTTTTAAATATTTTTACAAATATATATATATAACTTTCGTAGGCCTAATGGTTTCAAAAATCATGCAGAGGTGATCGAACAACTGAAGCGGTTAAGTGTTTTATTAACCCTAGTTAAATAGTTAACCCTTTCGCTTGTTTGGTAGCAGGGGGGTATAAACGACTACCTCAATATCCTAGTTTGGTAGCAGGGGGGTATAAACGACTACCTCAATATCCTAGTTTGGTAGCAGGGGGTATAAACGACTACCTCAATATCCTATCGATCACTAAAATGCAGCGTTTCGTCATTAAACATTTGTTATGTTATAGCGGTGATGTTTGCCTGGCATTCTGTATCTGATGGCTTGATGGTCTCTTCTTAGAAACTGGGAGAACTTAAAAGTATAATAAATTAACGCAGCGTTTTAAAAAAAAACAAGTATTCCAGACAGTTTTTTTTGTAATGTTATACACTTCTCACACATTGATTGTAAGCGTAGAAAAATAACAAAAAATGTACGTTTTCTGTTGAGTCTCCAGTGGCTGCAACTAGAGTGATTACGTACACAAGAGTTGTTATTGTGTTTCGTTATCTTGAATTTAGCGATTGTACGAAATGTTTATCTAAAGTAGTAAGGTCCTCGATGATCTGAGGTAATGTATATGTTCTTTTGGTGCGACTGTTCACGAGACACCTCTGTGATTCTTGTAATATCTACAAAGTTTCGCTTATCTCCGTCTCTCATGTACACGTATTATCTAAAATATGTGATCTGTTTACACTTCTTTACAAGGTCGATGGTGACACCACAGAAATGTTTACTGGAAGTAATGTGAAATTCTATTACACTTCTTTACAAGGTCGATGGTGACACCACAGAAATGTTTACTGGAAGTAATGTGAAATTCTATTACACTTCTTTACAAGGTCGATGGTGACACCACAGAAATGTCTACTGGGAGTAATGTTTACTGGAAGTAATGTGAAATTCTAAATTGAATACAAAAACCCATATACATATGCTAAATGAATAAAGAGGGAATTATGTTTCTCATTCTCCCTGGGGTGTCCAAGTGCCCCGTCCATGATGGGGACTATTTATTATAGTAATATGCAATGCCGCCGAGACCTCTATCGAGAGGTGGACTGGGAAGTAAGAGATTATTAGCAAAATTAAAATCGGCCCGTTGTTTTAAATTCCAAATGAATCTGTGGAATATATCATAGCACAAGTGAAAATGGTATTTTTAACATACTATGGATTTGATTAATAACAACTAAATTAACCCCTGACGTTCATGTAGTAAAACAGACAACATGCGTTAAACATCAGAGTCAGTATGATAATGTACACACGTTATAAGATTCACAGACATCAAGCTAAAGAATCTCTTGAAAACCAGAATGTTTTGTTATTAATGGTGATGAATGAGGAAGATATATTGGTAATGATGATGTGATCTACCGGAAGGATCTCCTAACAGTGATATATTAGAAGAGGTATACTTGAAAGATATCTTGACAATCATTATTATGAAGTAGTCTACCGATCCTCCTGTTAAGTACCCTTAACTACAAGGCTTAGATTCCCGGATAAAGCCTTTCGCCGAGTGAAAGAGATGATGCACGAAGGAAAGAAAAAAAACACGTTTTATTTAAATCCATGGAGAATGTTTGTTTGTTATGAATTTCGCGCAATACTACACGAGGGCTATCTGCGCTAGCCGTCCCTAATTTAGCAGTGTAAGACTACAGGGAAGGCAGCTAGTCATCACCACCCACAGGCAACTCTTTTACCAACGAATAGTGGGATTGACCGTCACATTATAACGCCCCCACGGCTGAAAGGGCGAGCATGTTTGGCGGGATGAAGAAGCGAACTCGCGACCCGCAGATTGCGAGTCGAGCGTCCTAACCACATGGCCATGCCGGGCCTCCATGGAGATAAGTCTACTACAAAGGACTGAAAATAAACGAACTTTTTACCGCATACCTTCCTAGAACCTATGAAATAAGAAGGAAAACTTTCAAGGAATTTCCCATAATGCCTCAAGTATTTTCCGCAATATTGCGCCCGTCCCTTTAACATATATATATTGTATAAAACAATCCTGAAGACAATTCCACTAAAAAAGAAAGTGAATAATTGTTTGTTTTAAAACAAAACCACATTGGGCTATCTGCTGTCCAATCGAACCCCGGATTTTAGCATTGTAACTCCATAAACTTACTGGGGGACGTATGTCAAATACGAATAACAATTTTTGAGTCATATTGATAGTATAGTTAATGTGAAGGAAAACTTGATCAATAACGGCCAGACAGTGGGCAAAACATGTAACTGAATACGTAGAAGGTGAAACTGGGGGGACACGTGCCCCCTAATTTTTATCCGGAAGAGCGAAGTGCCCTTTTGAACGGGGAATAAAACTTATGTGTAATAAATTGGAAAATAGATGTTTCAACTTTACGTTTAATGGTCAACTTATTAAAAAATATGCCCCCCCCAACACAAAAACTACATTTGTTCTGCCAACTATGACTGGAAAATAGGTGAGGAATCTGTTTTATTAGAGAAAGAATGTTTGATAGAAATTTTCCCACTCGCGGATTTTTGTTTCATTGATTTCAGCCTACTGGTTAATCTGTTTGGCTACAAATCGAAAGATTCGCGGTTCGAGACAATGCTGCTGAACACGCTCTACACTTTCATCTGTGAACGCTTTACAAACATGAAAGTCAACCTCATCATCCCGTTTAAAGTTCTTTTGGCAGCGAACTACCTTTCCCTCTGGTCAATAATTCAAAATTAGTGATGGCTATACTTGAACTCTTAGGAGTCTTTGACCTGGTCGTTTAGCCGAAGAACGTATAGATGCCGTTCTAAAACATCTATGTAGAAGTTTTTAACCATGACCCATTGCTTATCACTCAAAGTACAAGAGCATAATTCACTAATAGCTTATGAAAAATATACTAAACATATAATGATTACATGTTTCCCTCCTAGTGGCTCAGCCGTAAGTCTAAGGGCTTATATGGCTAAAAATCGAATTTCGATACCCACGATGGGCACAACGGGTATTTTATTGTGGAGCTTTGCACTTAACAACACACACAATGATTGTTCATTATAAGCAATGGGTCATAATGATTTAGTTCATTATAAGTAATGGGTCATAATGATTGTTCATTATAAGCAATGGGTCATAATAATTCAGTTCATTATAAACAATGGGTCATAATGATTCAGTTCATTATAAGGAATGAGTCAATGATTCAGTTCATTATGTTTATAATGAACTGAATTATTATGACTCATTCCTTATAATGAACTGAATCATTATGACTCATTCCTTATAATGAACTGAATTATTATGACCCATTGTTTAATGGGTCATAATGATTCAGTTCATTACAAGCAATGGGTAATAATGAAGAAGTAATTAAAATAGCCTTTATTTCATATAATTACAATATATTTATTCTAATATCCAAATATCTTCCATTTTGTCTTCTTTTCTTTGGAAAAGTCCAGAAGGTCGGTCAAAGGCAACAGGAACATCTTTAATTTTTCTCTTTACTTCCTTTTCTATCATCTATAAAGTCAATATAAACAAATAAAACAATCTGAATTATTCATATGACAGCTTAAACACCAAGATGACTCTCACAGCTAAAAGCCTAACTGTACCATTCATACAAGTATGTGTGTAGATGTTGGAATTGGTGAAAAGATGGCCTCCATTTTACATATAAAGAGGGACCAGCACCCACTTTATCCCCTCATAAATTTTGATCAGTGTACACATTTCCACAGTTGAGCTGAGTTTTTGGTTCAAAACAACAACTTATAAACAGACAAAGATTCTAAAATAAGTTGGGTAGATGGAGATAAATAGTCAAAAAAAAAGATAAAGAAATTGGGCTAACCAAAAAATATAATAGGCTTGGCCTCTTCTGTATCAAAATAGGCCAGAATTCGTACTCTAGCTGTAGAAGGTTTTCAAGGGAGTATAGCATACCCCTCAATCCCTCTTAGTTTCTGCTCTACTATTGGCAGGCACATTTCTGATTCAATTCTAATTTTGCCTCTCCTCAAACCCCACATTTTGCTTCTGACGTCTGTGGTGGTGACAGCTAACATAGCTTGAAGCTGCAACACTCAACTGATCATAGTAGGATTTTTGTTTGTCAACTTGACCAACACTACGATTAATACTCACGACATTCGGAGCTCATCTCTAGCAAGATCTAATCTAATTAAACTACACAAATGTCTAACATTTCAATCAGCCATTTCTGTCTGATTACTAAGTTTAATCCTACACGATAAACCATAACTTGTACTTGTTTGAAGTAGTTCCATTTCTCAAATGTTTAATTTAAATTGACTATGTTTCTAAATTCTGTAAAAAATGGAAAGTTTTTTACCGGTTTGTTGAAAACATCTATTCACAACTGTTGCTTATGTTATTATCACTAAATTTCTGAATTAATAAAAGTCTTGCTTCTGAGATAAATAATACATATTCTTAAGCTGTAGAATGATTGGTTTGTTTGTTTTGAATATCGTGTAAAGTTGCACGAGGGTCATCTGTGCTAGCTGTTCCTAATTTAGCAGAGATAGACTAGAGGGAATGCAGCTAATCAACAACCACCCACCACTAATTCTTGGGCTACTCTTTTACCAATGACTAGTGGGATTGAACATAACATTATAATGCCCCAAGTTGAAAGAACAAGCAGGAGTTTGAACTTGTGACCCTCAGACATGGCCTTTAACCACTTGGCCAGGCATTCTTTAGAATGTCTTACCTTACTGATCATGACATTTAGTGGTAATGTGTTACTACAACTAACTACTTTAAGCACAACTGTTTGTAACTGTTTGAAAAGTCCTAGTGGTATATTTACAATGATACTTTAGAAAACTGTTAAATAAAGAAAAACAATCAAGTGAAAAGCCTTGCTGACATTACACTTAAAGTATAGAATGTTATTACACACACTTGTCATAGGAAACATATATAGGTTCAGTAAAGAATGAAGAATACAGATTCAAGTATCCAGATGATGGGATGACAGACCACCATGTCTTAAAGTTGATTATTCAGCTGCCACATTTTTTATGGACAAACAACAGTTTTATTGCTAGATTTATTTTTAGATACACAATGAAAAACAAAAAGACATATTTAATTACTTATCTGAAACTTAAACTTTGTGAAGTTTGAAGGAGAATAATTTCTTTTCATGGTGGTCAAAAATTACAAATTTGTTTGAATACAACAAATATTATATAGTGGAATTCCTGTACGTTCCCAAGGCAGTCATAGATCATGGGAATGTTTTAACTCTCTCAACACGGGCTTGGTCTATTTGACCAACCACGTGACTTCTTTGTACTCATTTAAAGTCTTGGCACTTTCAGTAAACATTACAAGTCTTTCACACACAAAAAATTATATTTTTATTGAAGTATTTTTTAATAAACTAAAAAAAGATTTTTTGTCCGTGAAGATATCAAATATTTTTTGTTACTAGTCCATGCACAAAATGATTTTCGTGTTAAGATTAAAAATACTTTTCTTTATCTCAAAAATCTCAAATTTCATATGCACAATCTCTAAAACCTCCTAAGTACATTCCAAATACTTGTTTTCAGTAAAACTTTATAATTTTATCTGTTATTTTCTCTACCCCAACTCTATACAATGTTGGTCAATTTGACCGACCTCGTAACCACACACACACACACAACAAAATAATACTAAATAAATACTAAAGTAGTCGTGGGAGGCA